ATGGCTATAATTACTTTGTCTGTGAAATGAGCTGTTGGCGAATTAATTGTTGGTGAAATGAACTTGTCGATGAATTAGTTGTCGGTAAAATAAGCTGTTGGTGAAGTGATTGTCAGTGAAATGAGCACCACCCAACTAGTATTAACCAAAGAATCTTTAACTACAAAAGTATATCATCTAAAAAGTGAACAAAATTTTTAGACCTTCTTACTGACAATCTCAACTTATATCATACTCCACTTAATTTTAATGCTAATAAAAGTATTGAGACTACTTGGCATAAAATTAAATACTCAATTATTAATACTGCAATACACAATATACCTAACAAAATAACTAGAAAATATAGTTATAATTATCAATATACACCACATTGCACTTTACTCTACCTATCACTTAAAGAATCTGATCATATAATTAAAATTGTCAAAAACAAAAATAATAATATAGATGCTAATCTAATTAATTCTAAAATTAAACTCAAGATCTCACTGCAATTTTAAGCATTTATATTTTCTCAACATTCTTTATGGATCCAACATGTACAAGAAATCTGAAAGCAACTTTATAATGCTTGCCAGATTGAAAACTCTCTCTTACTTCAACAACAAATTAAACAAGCAACTGAAAAAAGATGCAAAACACTCTTTATAAAACCTAAACAAGCCATCAATAGTATTCTTAATTGTTATTAACCTTCTATTTACTTCTCTAATATTAAACTTTCGAACCAACTTATTACAGATTCAAATCTTATTAAACAATATATACAATCATATTTCTTTAACTAGGCAGCTTACTAATCAATTGACCAACATCCTTTTAACAACTTCTGGTCTACACAGTACCAACCTCAAACATATATTAACACCTAGTAGTATAACTTTCTTACTCTTTCTATTTTAGAAGAATAAGTATTTTAAACTATAGCAAAGCTTTCTAATGGAAAAGTCTGTGGTCCTACAGGCATTAGCTATGAAATGCTCAAACATATAGGTACTACTTGTATTAAAGTCTTAACTGCTCTATTTAACTGATATCTTATCTTAAACTATGTTTCTAAGCAATGAAAACATTGTAGAATATACCTTATTTCAAAGTGCAATACAATTAATGGTGACCTTAATCTTACTTAACCTATAAGTCTTATTGAACATATCCATAAAGTTTATACAAAAATTATTACCAACAGAATTAGTACTGTATTTTCACAGCACTATATAATTATGTTGTTTTACTCATAATAGTACCTTTATACCTATTCATATACTTAACAATTTTATTGAAGATGCACTTTGTAATCAAAAAACAATTTAGCTTTTATCTTAGAATATAAGTAAAGCCTACAATTCTGTTAATTTTACTCTTCTACAACAGTCTCTTCAATGTCTTGCTCTTCCTACTTCTATTATCAATACTATTATCAAATTGCTCACTAACTAACAAAATCAAGTTATTACAAATTTGGGTCTATTTCTTCATACTTTGTACTTAATGATATTGATCAGAGTGAAACTATTACTCCTCTTCTATGGAGAATATACTATGTCTACTTATTTCATACATTCATAATAACTTTAAAGGTTATACTACACAAGTTTTCTGATCAACTAACCTCAAATACAAAATATTTGACAAACTCAATTCACATTGTTCAGTTTTTGCTTATATGAATGATATATTTTGGATTGCATCATCACAACAAAAACTTTTACAAATCCTCTCAATAGCAGAATCTTTTTACAATATGGCTAATATTCAAATTAATCCTTCCAAATCTATATTTACAATCAATAATCCTCTACACAATTATAGCCATATTACTTATAATAATTATTTATTTAATCTTTATCTCTTAAATCAACTATTCAAGTTTCTTGGATGCTGGTTTACACTTAATAACAAACAAACAAAACAGATTAAGCTTATTATGGCTGATTCATTACATCTTGTTAAAATAGCTAATATTAAACAAATTACTGACACACATATATGATATATTATCAATATAGTTATTATTTCTACAATTGAATATTGCTTGTATAATATTGTTCTTAGCCAGAATACATAAAACAAAATCTTTACCAACCATATTGGACTTGTTTAAAGTAAGGCTAAACTTAGCTGTACAATTCCTGCTAGTATACAACCTTATTCTTAACTTTATAATATTCGCAACATATAGGATATCTAACTGCAACACTATATCACAAACTTTACTAAAAAACTTAATTTTCATGGCCTTCTTGGTACTAGTTTACTTTAGCAACTACAGAATAATCTTTGGTTACCTACTAATATATTAATACATGACAATCCTTGCATTAATATATCTAACAAATATACAACTAGTTTTAAGATTATTTAGCTTTTTAAACATCTTGATATAGCATTTACTGCTAATTCAATACCAATATTCCACAAGCTATTCAAGAGAGCTCTATCTCTCTAGAATCTCTGTTTTCTTCATACTCTAAATATTTAACCTTCAAAAAACAACTCAGATATTATTATATTTTATATCTTGACCAACTTACCACTTTTGATAACTTATGCTTATTAGATTAAAAACATATTTCTCCTCATATACACAAGATTCCAAAAAACAAACAGCCACTTTGGTTTACTTATCTAGAAGATTTAGTTACTAGTCACTTTTCTAATTGCACACTTTATCAATATCTACATCTACCTCAAAAAACTATTATAGTTATACAACTAAACACTTTTTTTTACAAAAAAAGCTATGGCTTATCACAGTATATAATAATCAAATTAATGCTGACAAAGTTAGAAGACAACCTTCTTTATCTGAAAATATTTTAATTACTCACTATCAATGCCATATTGAATTATAATTTACTCACCTTTTTTCTCTTTCACCTATTCAATTATGCTTTTTTTGAATATATGCCAGGTTTATAGCACAGCAAAAATTCTTCAAAGTTCATTTATGTTAGAATTAAGGTTCAGATTAGGGTTAGGAAGGGGTGTTTGTATAGTAAAATTGTCTAGCAAAAATTTTGTTAAAGTACTAAAGGTGGTTTCCTATGCAGATTTTCAAGAAATGAGCAATTTCTTACAAAATGAACATTTGTTTTAAACCTTCTTAATCATATTACATTACACCTTATCTTGAAATCTAATTTGTAGTTCAAAACATCTGCACCACAAACCTGGCACACATTCAAAGGATGCTTTAATCACATATATATCCTAGTTGCTCTCTTAACTCCCATACAATTGCTAATAAATATACAGTTATTATTCCCATTAACCTTTCAACCCATTTCTTTGGCCAAGTAAATATATTCAACAAAACCTTTAACTTTAATGCCAACCATCTAAACCTTATATATTCTATTGCAATTAGACACTCTATTCAAATCCCAAGTTTATCCAATATTTATATTGCTATACATTTAATTCTAATAATTTTTGAACCAAGCTTGTCAACAAATAATCTTCAACAGATTGCCAACTACAATTCTAACTTATCTGAACTTCACTTCTATACTGATAGCTCTGTTATTGATATTGGATGGGTTCAAATTTCTAACAATTCAATACTATATACATTTCATGCTCAGACAAAACTTTGGCTTTGTTCATTTAAGGCAGAACTTGTAGCTATTTTATCAGCTCTTATTACTGCTTCCAGAAACTGCACTATAAATATATATACTGATTCTCAATTTGAAATTTCTAAATACAAAGCTTTGTATATTCTCTTACTACTCTTTCATATATACATACACCATACTTTTCACTATAGAATATACTTATTTTTTTTAAGTTTTATAACTAGCCTCTTCGAGTATACAGTTTTTATTCAATAATCTTCTGTTGCACTAAGTATCACCATGACTACCTGTAGCATTATTTTTTGTACATAATTAACTATATTTATGATGATCATATAGTGACTGGAAATCTTCTTATAGAAGATTTCCGGGTTCATATTGATCATCAGAAATCTCTAATCTACTGATTTTAATTTGTTAATATTTTGAACTAGAATTCTTAGCCAGATTAGATATTATTTTTTAATTTTTACTATGTCGAGTATTTTTTTTTAATTCTTATGCTTTTAGGCAGAACTTTAATTTGATCATGAATTTTTTAAAATTCTTGTACTTTGGATTAAGTAATTTAATCAATTAGATTTTTTTTAATTCTCAAGCTTAATTAGATTGAAGGTTTTCTGGTACCATAATTCTCATACTCTGGGCCAAGAACTTATAAATTCTTGTGCTGCTTTGAACTAGTAACTTAGTTAGGTCAGATATCAGGTTTTTTTTTAATTCAGTTTCTTTTGACTTTCGTACTTTGGGTTAGAAACTTCACTAATTGAGTTTTTTAAATTATCGATCAAATAAACTTTTGACTAAAAACATTGATTAAACAAAATCCTTATGCTTTGTAACTATACTTGCTACCAAATCCCAAACTATTATAGTTTGGGTTTGTCTGTGCCCAAATCTCAAACTCAAGCCCAAACTATTATTTCAAAAACTTTATTAATAATCTTTATTTAAACAAATGATATATATTCTTATAGCTATATATAATATATTTACAAAATATTAGAATTATTTTTTTGATTTAATTTTTTATAAAAGCAATTTGTTTTTTGAAGGTTTGGGATTGGTCTGAATTTAGGCGGTATGTATATTTGTAACAGGAACTGTAATTACATCAGATAATTATAATTGCGATTAATGCTTTGTTTTATATTAATTTTAATTTACATTACCAATTTGTAAATAAAAGATTAAGCATTATTGAAGGTAATGTTAAAGCTTATATTACTGCAATTCTCAACAGAAATTTTTGAGATATTTGATTTTTTCAATTCATCATCTTCAGATGCGTCACTTTTTTTATTTCGCTTATTTGGTGTTAAATCAGAAGCATTTAAAAGTAAATCAGATGTCTTGGAAAATCTTAAAATAAAATATATACATATTTATAGATCAAATTTTTAATAAATAAAGCAATTAAATATCAATATAAATATCAATATTACCAACTTGATTATTATTAATAGAGGTAGAATCTTTTAGTGCTGAACATTCTAATTTAATAGATATTAAGCATGTATAGTACTATAAAGTGTAGTGTGTAAATAGAAATTAAATATAAATTACTTGTTTCTTCAACAGAGATCAAATAAGATACATTGTCTATTTTGTGCTTTAGAGATTGACATTGGTAAGTGGATACACCAGCAATTGTTTTATATCGAGAGAAAATTATTTGTTTATCAAGCATTATATCGGATTCTACAAGATTGTGAATGCCTGTTTGAAATACATTAAATACTAGAATAAGAAAAATTATTTGGTTACACTAAATTCTAATAAAATTCAAATACCTGTAAAATATATCGAATGATTCATAATAGTGCGACCTTTAAAATCTAATTTTGCATCTTTACAGATTGCATTCATCATTATATCATGAGACCCCTTTTCTAATTTAAATGGTAAATACTATTTATCTCTATAAATTTTTTAAACTTATTTAGTGAAACAAAAAAAAAGTCATCCTCTGTATTATTTGGTCGCTTTGACAAGTATTTTTTAATATCTGCAACTGGAGTATAAGTATTTCCTGAAATGTCAGGTGGTATAAAACTAAAACCAGCTTCAGCATATGAATCTTTAATGCTACCAGCATGATTTTTTCTTTAGGTAGTTCGAGTTGCATTCCACTATTCTCCAATTCTTTAAGCCAAGAAACCTTCAAATGTTTAGTATCACCACCTCTTAAGCAGTATAGTAATAATATCCAAAGCCAAACTCTTCATAAAAGACTTTTTGGATTATTAGTTGATGTCACTGGTGAGTTAAGTATTAGTTTATTTCATCAATCTCTAGAGAATCTGATTGTTTGTGATTTTTACTTCCTTTGGTAACAAATAATTTCATATGACCATCCAACATTCTATGCAAATTCTTAAACTGATGTTTATCAAACAAATTAACAATTCTTATATTTTCGAAAGCTTCAGAAACACCTCGAGCGATCACACAAAAACCTGTATAAAGTGAAGAAGCCTTATATTCTTGGCTGTTTGATTTACGAATTTCAATGATAAATTGTTCAAGCTGCTCTAATAGTGTTTTATTGTCAAGTTCATTAATATTATTCAAATATCTATATAATTGGCAAAATTTATAAAGTAAGTTTATCCAAATATTCTTGACTTGTCAGTATTTTTATTTCTTGATGCCTGCTAAAATTCTTCAACTTCTTCTCTAGTTGATGAGTCAAATCATAAATTATACTTGCTATTTTTTTTTATTTAGTATAAAAATATAAAAGTGAAATAAAATAACTATATATGAGTAAAATATAGTAAAAGTTAAAGCAAAAATAAAAGAGTAAAGAGTAAAAAATAAAGCAAAGTAAGAAGTAAATATGTGATAATAAGTAAATATATAAGTGAAAAAAAAAGTAATAAAAAGCAAAGTAGAACAAACTAAGTAAGTAAAGTAAAAAGTAAAGTGAATTAGAGTAAAGTGAAAAGTAAAGTAAATTAAAGTAAAGCGAAAAGTAAAGCGAAAAGTAAAGTGAATAAAGTAAAGTGAAAAGTAAATCAAATAAAGTAAAATGAAAGTGCAGTAAAAAAAAATAATCATTATATATATAGTTACACATGATTAAATAATGATACGTGCAGTTCGATTAATATCTAGTGACATGCTCCTGGGGATTACCTATTTATTTTCTGAAGAGAAATTAAATAATATGTATATAGATGAGAGGCTCAATTATGAAACTCAGTACATTAGTAATAATAATATCCTAATCCATTAGGAATTAGTGATAATGGAGTTTCTGCTTATTCACATATAGTCAGGGTATTATTAATTAATACTCCTGTAATCTTGATATAGTGATCAGGGTATTATATTACAAATGCAGACCCAGCTTGTATCATCAGTACTTTCTACCACAATTACCTTTCATAAGAAGTCCCAGATGCTTTTCTGATATCCTTAGGATTAATTTATCCTCAAGGCATTATTAGCTAAAGCTTTTCATATTCACAATCTGGCTAATCTAGACTTAAGTAACTTATGCCAAATCTGAGAACAAGTACTTGTGAGCTGAAGCTGCTACCATTACCTACTTCTGACCTTGCAGAGTTCATTCAAACTTCAGCATTCACTTTACAACCTATTACTATTACCTAAGTTCTGTCAGTAATCTAAACTCCTAATCCAGATAACGCAGAGAGGCTATAACCTGCTTCTCATTACCACAGTTGGTCTTTTTCCTCTGGTATATCATTAGAGACTAGTTAATATAGTGTCTGCCAAACACTCTGTCCTTGTTTAGATCACTGAAATCAGTGTCTGGATCTCTTAAATAATCTTTTATATTGTACTGTCAAAGATCTGTAATACCTCTCTGCTAGAGGCTTGTCAAGCAGGCTTTTGTGCTTCATAGCCCCAATATCTGAATTAACTTAACTGCTTTACTCAGGTTTTGTATAACTCATATATTACACTAATATTCCACAGCCTTTTAGTTAACCCTGATATGACCAAGTTTACAGATTCTATAATCCATCGAATTACATACAGTCTGCCATAACATATTTAGTAAAATTTAAATTTCGTCACCAGTGGGATTCGAACACTTGTTCTGTCATTTGGGGTGCGACACCTTACCAAATTTACTAAGTTAGAATACACTTATTAACTTTATCAAATCTTATTATAGTCATATTACATTTTACAAAGTTATTGCCCATCAAGATAACAATTATAACAATCTTGCTGACCAACTTGTATGCAACTATTATAATTTACCATATATCTTATATTTATACCTTATAATATCTACAATTCATCTTATACTCTAACTTTTAAGAACTTTCCTTTAGAGTTTACCTACTCATCGTAGTATTTGTACAATATACCATACTTATATCTATGCATTATAGTTAACACAAAACCATTTTCAAAAATTAAACAAACTTTTTAACCAAATTAATTGGCAAGCTACTTGGTTATATATTAACAACAATTAAAAAATTTCTAAATTTTTGCACAGTTTACACTCTTCTGCTCTTAAGTCCTTTAAGATTAAAATTTTATTAGATAAAATTCCTACTCACATATTTTACACAAACAATATCATTTATATTCACCTACTTGCCATTAATACCATCATATCAGCTCTCATCTTCACTAGATAACCTGTCCATCTGACCAGCTACTATTCAATCTATTAGATAATTCATTACAACATACTCTCAACACAACTATACTTGATACTATTGATGACATTATAACCAATCTGTATAATCAGATTAAACAACTATACTGTATGACTATATACAATATATCAAATACACTTTCAGTCTTCTTAACACTATTCAGCCTTGTGCCAAATGAAATCATCACTTCAGTTTCAAACTTATCAACCCAAAAAATAGCTGTAATACTTGTTATCAAATTTTTACTTCATCTTAATTAACAAGTTTATCATAAAATCTGGATTTGTTATTGTATTCTAGATCAACAGCCTATTCTTCTACTAATAACCTACCTTCTAATATTATCTTATACATATTTTAACCTCTTTATTCTACTTCTATTAGCTTCAAGATAAATTTTTGATATATATATTAGATCAAATACTAAACTAATCTTTCTTATATTATTACTAATACACAAATATAGATGAGCTTTTGCCACTCTAGTTGGTTTAGGTCACAGATAAACTAGTTTGAGTCTCTATTCTTCTTATAATATTTTAAAAGTAGATTAGTGCTTTATATAATGATTTTAATTAAATATTTAATAAAGAAAGAGGCATGGCCTCACCATTAACATTAAAAAAAAAAGATAAAGAAAAAATAAAGATAAAGAAAAAATAAAGGGAAAAAAAATAAATTAAAGAAATAAATAAAGAAAATAAAGAAAATAAAAAGTATAAATAAGAAAATAAAGAAAAATATAAATAGAGAAAAAAATAAAGAAAAAATAAAGAAAAAAGATATAACTATGAAATAATATAGTATATATTTAACAATAAAGTACAGATAAATTTACTATATTTTTTTTCTAAATTTTATTTATTTATTTTTTTCTCAATAATGAAACCTATTGTATTGATATTAGTAGACAAAGACAATCATTAATATAATTGTTAGACAAAACTTAGTAGGTTTTGTCTTTAGATAGTAATACAACCTTTATGGTACTAGTATTTTATAAAATAGCAACTAATATAAGCGCACAACTTTAGAATTTTATAATAATAATATTTACAGATATATGCTTTATGTAGCTTTAGTAATCGTTATCTGAAGTTTTGATAGATAAATTGTTTATACAAGTAGTTGATATCTATACTATTGAGGTTGTTATATCTGAGATATCTACTAAAAGCATTTGATGAACCTTTTAATCTTTGTTTTCTGTTTGAGATTTGGAAAGAGAAATTCTAGAATTTGACAAGAGAACACCTGGTTATTATGTTAAATTAGCTAAAAGATGCATGGATCTGGATCAGAATAAGGGTGCTCTCAAGCATCTAAAATAATAGCCCAGTGCTTAATTCTTAATTTGTAGAATAAAAAAGATTGCTGAGATCATTGTTTTTTTATCATAGAGTTGTGCTAATTGACTAAAATTTAAAATCTATATTATATGCTATGAACTTTTAGCAAAATTGTTATAATTTGGTATTGACGTCAAGATAAATACTAACTGCAAATATTTATAAATTTTAGTATTAATATATCAATGACATTACCCTTATAAAGACTTTTTGATAGTTTTCAATTTGATAAATATAAAAATTTGGATATGCTATATCAAATTATCCAATCATTGACATTGAAAATCTGATTATTTTTAAATATAAAACATCTCACAAAAAATAATTTACTATATATCAAGACTGCTAAAACTTATATCACCAACTGAATTGTCAAACTTGAAGCTTAGTTTATTCACAATACTAAATAAGGTATTGCTTCTAACTAGTGAAAAACATTTAAATTTATATTTCTAACTTGATAAATATCTTTTATAAAGCATTGACCAATTTTATATTTAATAAATTCTTTTCTGTTGGCTTTGGTTGTTGGCTTTGGTGAGTTTCAAATAATAGATTCAATATTTTATATTTGATTTATATTGTACTAATATATTTGTTTAAAGTAATCATAACTCACATAACTATACTGTTAATTCTAATAATCATTAGTATTATTATTCTAATAATAATTAGAAAATTTAAGATTATAATAAGAAATTTATAATTTGATGCACCATGCACTGTGATGCACCTTTGATTAAAGGGTATTAATAATAATTATCAACTGATTAAATCAGTTGAATTTTTTTTTTGTTTAACACATTGTATTAAATTTAAATTTTTTTTTGTAATAGCTTCAGATTGACATCGCCATTGTGTCATCTTTACCAGAATTTTCACTTGAAGTTGGTATCATCACCATTGCCAGAACCATCATTTGGAGTTGGTGTTGTAGTTTCAGCTTTGTTATTCGTGCCTAGTAAATTGTGTTGCTGTTGTAGTTTTGGCATCATCGTTCATGCTCTGTTGAATTGTGTCACTATTGCTGTTGGCCATTGTTGATGGAAATTTGTGTATTGTAATTGGGTATGTCGCTTAGGTATCACTTCTTATATGTTGATAATTGTTGGTAAAGCTATCTTTAGTACTCTTAGCCTTGTTTCTGATGTGATATTACACAACAATGTTGAATAATTTAGACAGATTAGGTTAGTTAGGGTTTGAATTAAGTATGTATTGTTCTTG